AAAAAACAAAACCCTAGTTGGCCGAGCATGGTGACACATGGCTGTAATCCCAGCACTCAGAAGGCTGAGCCAGGAGGATCATTCAGAGTTTGAGGCCAGCCTGGGTAACATAGTGAGTCCAAAGCCAACCTGAGCTACATGATGAGAGCCTATCTCAAAAAAACAAAGGAAGGCCGGGGATATAGCTCAGCGGCACAGGCACAGCACCAACCTGGCAAGCTCAAGGTCCTGAGTTCGATTCCCAGTACCAGAAAAAAAAAAAAAAGAGAGACACAAGGTTTCACCAAATCACCCTGTCTGGATTTGAACTTGCCATCTTTCTCCTTGAGCCTCCTAGAGTACTAGATTTGCAGGTGTACTGCATCATGCCCAGCCAAAACCCTATATGTGCTATGCTTTCTCCTACACATCCATACCTAAGTTAACTTTAAATATAGGGCTGGTGGTATAGCTCAATGATAGAGCACTCAGTTTGATTACCAGCACTGAAAAAAAAAATAAAGATTAATCTATAAATTAGGCACAGAGAATAATAACTACAAAGAGAACAATTATAATAACAAACTGTAATAAAATTGCTAGCATCATTACTATTATATTCCTAGGCCACTGTTAAGTAAAATAAAAGCTGCTTCTTTTCTTTATTTTTTGAGCCAGGTTCTTGCTATGGAGCTCAGGTTGACCTTGGACTCACTGTGTAGCCCTGGTTGGCTCAAACCTACAGTGACCCTCCTGCCTCACCCTTCCAAGTGCTGGGATTGCAGGTGTGCACCACCACGCCCAGGCAGGGGCCTCTTGAACATAGCACTGCTTTACTTTTTTGTTTTTATTTTGTTTTGAGACAGGGTCTTGCTATGTATTTTAGGCCGGCCTTGAACTCACTGTTACCCAGGCTGGCCTTGGACTCACATATCCCAGGTGAGACAGAGCAGGATAGCATGAGATTTCCTCATGCTGCTCAGAACAATGTACAATTTAAAACTTAGGTATTATTTCTAGAATTTTCCATTTCATATTTTTGGACTTTTGATTATACACTACTGTCTCTTCATCTGGAAGTATCTGTGAAGTTAGCATTGACAACCATGAAAAATGAAATTTGGTGGCTAAATATTCCAGTTTCTGATGTCCCTCACGCATGAGTGGGGCAGCTTTGCAGTATGTTCTGCTGTAGCATTTCTCAATTTTCTAGCATATAAAGATCACCTGGAGGGAGTACTAAGCTACAGACTCTGGGGCCCAAGAGTTTGCATTTCTAACCAAGCTCCTGGGAGACTCTGATGCTGCCAGTCCATGGACCAGTCTGAATAGCATTGTTCTTTGAGATTTCCCAGTGGGATTCAGCCCCAATTGGTAAAATCACTCTTTATAGCCTTTCCTCTCACTCCTGTGCTTGGATTTCTGGGACAACTTCCAAATTAATTATTTGCATTCAAATCTTTGTTTTAGGATCTGGTTGGGGGGAAATCCTTAGGAATATGGACATAGACTTTTGTGTATAAGTTTAGCAGAGCTATGAGTTTCCCACAGTTCATTCTTTAGGTTGCAAATGAAGTGACCAGGGTAAATGTCACATGACCAAGGTCACTAAAATATGATGTGTAATGTGAAGTCTGGCAACTTAACCTGTTCGTGGATCATGGAACTGACTGAATTCAATCAGTTCTCCTTTTCCCAGGACTGGGGATATAGCTCAGTGGTAGATCACATGCCTGACATGCATAGGGTACCAAGTATGATCCCTAGCACTACAAAAATAAGCAGATATCTAAAGAAAAAAAGTTATTTTCGCAGATCCTATTGTCATCTCATTATTCTTCCTGGTCTGTGTCATCCTTACTTTGTGGGACATTGGAGTAAGTCTGGGGCTCTAGGAGCGACCTAAGGCTTAAAATCAACCTTTAAAAATACTGCTACTCATTTCCATTGAGTTCTTATGGCTTCTCTCCAATCAGTGCTTTCTGGGCATCACTGCAGTGCTCCTATAACCATTGCTGTGATCACACAGAGCCAGGCATGTACCTGTAGCTGTTTCTCCTACTCCCTTCTGGATTCCTCATGGTACCCTAGTCTATTTGATCCCTTTGGGAATCTGTAACCATTGACATATATTCTTAAGCCCAGTCTGGTGTCCTCTGGAAACTAGGCAATATTCCTAGAGACATCTTTCCCTAGGGTTCAGACACATTACCCTCTTTTTATGTGACAATCAAAGCAACCCTCACTGCTTCCCTAGAATCCCACTTCTCTTTTCCTGGTTTGTGTTGCAGCTTCTAATTGGCTACGTAGAAAGAGCTAACACCAGTGGCACCTCAGCTTTGCCCACATGTGGACGAGCACATATGCTTATGTATGATTATGTTTGTCTTTGTATATATCTATGAATGTGAGTTTGTGGGTATGGGAACGTAAGCAACCGGAGATCATGTCTGGAGTCTAATGCATGTTTAGCACTCAGCTTTAACTAGTCTTTCTGCATTGTTAGCTTCAGCTTTAGCTTTCTTCTGCCCTCAGATACCAGAAAAGAATGAGTTCATTTCCTTAAGTTTATTGACTGTTACTGGTGGCAGAGCAAACTCCACATGGAGCAAATAGAAGGGCAGCTCTGAGCTGGTGAAGAAGGGTGCTTGGAGCGGGGCTTGGGGTAAAGGACAGAAAGGCAGGTCTCTCCCTCCTGTTTCCCTCTATTCCCACAAAGATACAGGACCAAGGTGGGGGCATCCTGCTCAGCACTCCCTCTCCACACTGGAACCAGAGGGAGAAACACGATGCGAACTAGAAGAGGAAACACTTCAGAGCTCCTCTGTTTCTCCATCCAAGGGGATGCCGATATCCACGTTGTAGTCTACCGGCTCCCCGGAGCTCAGCCACGGAATAGGGGTTCGATTGAAAGAAGGCCTGTTGGAGAGGTTCTGGTTGTAGAGGACCAGGGGTTCACTCAGCAGGGGTCCCAGGTCAATCTTTGGCATCTGGAAGGTCATGCGTTTGGAGGCCTTCTCATATCCACCGTAGGGCATTGCCGTCCTGAGAAGGGGACATATTATTCAATTAATAAGCAGAAGAAAAGAAATAGAACCTTGTGGACATGTTACCCTGGTTGGAGTAAGGAAAGGTCCATAAATTAAGATTGTTTCTACACTCCTTCTTCTTCTTCTCACTTATTTTTTGTTGTTGTTGTTGTTGTTGTTTGTACCGGGAATCAAACTCAGGACCTTGCACTTGCCAGGCAAGCACCTGTGCCACTGAACTATATCCCTGGCACCTTCTTCTCACTTGATACCTTCTGTCCTCTTCTCAGCTTGATTGTTTCCACCAAGTTAATAGTGAAAAAAGAAGTCTAGAGCGCACTAAATGGAGAATCTCTTGGGGAGTTGTGACCCAAACACTGTAGACCCAAAGGTCGGAGGTCACCATAAATTACAATACAGAGACCCCTCCCCAACTCCTTCTGATGGATGCCTTCTGAAGGAATTAATGCCAAAATACAAAAACACTTCTCTGGGCCTTTCGAATTCTGCTCTTACATAGATCACCAAGATCTAGAGAAGCGTAATTCCAAAAGAATAGATATTGGGCTGGGGATATAGCTCAGTGGCATAAGCGCCTGCCTGGCAAGCACAAGGTTGTGAGTTCAAGCCCCAGTACTGCAAAAAAAGAAAAAAAAGAAAAAAAAAGAATAGATATTTACAGTCTTATTACAGCAAAGAACCAGCAAAGAAATAGAATCAGGGCCAGGGATTTAGCTCAGTGGCGCAGTGCCTGCCTGCCTAAAGTCCTGAGTTCGATTCCTGGTACTTCGCCCCAAAAAACCCAGAAAGGAACAGAATCATAGCACAGGAATATAATGACATCCTCACCTGGAATGGAAGGGAGCCCCAAGAGGCCTTCAGCCATGTGATCATTAATTCCTATTTTACATTCAAAGTGACCAAAGTTCAGAGGTAGGGTGACTTTCCTACACCTACCGGCGAACAAATGGCCTATGAACCAGTGTTTAAATCCTCCCAGCAAATTTTTCCTCCATCACATTACTATGATGAAGATGAGCTAGAGTTGAAGGAACAAAAGTTTTCCACTAGGGCACCTATATTCCTGCCTTCCCTCTCAGTCCTCTTCTGAAACATTTGAACTGCAGTCCCATGCCACACACCGGAATGCATCTGGACCCTTCCCCACCACCCTACCTGTTAAAGGACTTGTATTTGGGGAGTTCTGCTTTGGCCCCATAGGCCAGCAGGTCAATGCCGAGTTCCACTTTTTGTTGGGAGTCAACTCCCATGGCCCGCTCCCATGGGGAAATATAGGTCTTGAACACAGTAACATGTTTTCCTTCTCCACCTGCCTGGTCTCCTGGTCGTCAAGAGAGAGAAAAGTAAGTCAAACAATAGCAGTTCATTTAGTAACCAATGAAAATTAGTCCCACATCCTCGCACTAGGGAAATTGCTAAAGCCAGACACCAAAAGTATAATATCTTGGTAATTATGTAAAGTTTGCAGTGTAATGACAGCCTAGCGTCAGCTCTGTGATTGAATCTGAAAAGCCAGAAGGCTTGCAGACAAGGCTTGGGAGAGGAGCAGACACATCTCTCTATCCTGGATACCTCCTAGGTTCAAGCTAGCTCACTTCTGCCGCCCACACTCAGCCTAGGCAATATTCCTAGAGACGTCTTTGCCCTAGGGATCAGACACGTTATTTTTGGATGAGAGTACTTGCCTGATCCTGCCTCGCCAACTCCTGCCGTGCCAGTAGCTCCTCCTCCGCCAGCCTGGCCCCCAGGACCGCCTGCACCCCCAGCTCCAGACCCAGAGCCCTGATGATGATGATGATGGCCAGAGCCATACTGTCCAGCAGAGCCATACTGTCCAGCAGAGCCACTGCCCACTCCCTGGCCTCCGCCGCTGCCCCTGCTATAGGAAAATCCCTGACCAGCTGTGCCCAGCTGTCCCCCCACTGTGGGAAGGAACTTCTGGAAGTGATCCTGTAAAAAAAGGACAAATAGAGGAAAATGTTAGCAATCAGCGGAAAACACAGGAAGAGAGAGGTGCACATAGCAAAAGAAGAGGCGGTCAGAGTGGGCAACCCCAGCACCCGGGGTCCTCTGAGATCACCCCAGCATTACACACAGCCTGGCTGAGAGGACTCGAACTCTCGTTAAGAGGCAGAACCCCTGTTGGCTCAGTGTCCCTAGTTTCACCTTAGGTTTGGGTAGCACTTTCTCCACTCCTCTTTCCCATCCTTACTAAGGCAAAAAAAAAAGACCAAGACTTCTGCACAACTAGAATTTGGGAGGGCAGAGTTGCCAAGAAGAGCCCCGACTGCATTTGAGGAACTACCTTTCCCCATCTTGTCCAGAAGTCTCCTTTCTTTCCTGCTGGTATCTACTGGACTTCCGGAGAGTGAAACTGTAGCAGGTGGGGGGAGGGGCAAAAGGACAGCACTGGATTCAGCCCCAAAGCCTAAAAATAACCCCCCCAACTCCTTGAGGAGGCTCTTCTGGCCACCTTACCATGTATACCTCCATGCCCCACCCAGTGTAACCAGACCCAGCAGAGAGAAGGGCTTTCAGCCTCCTAAAGTTAGATCTGACCAGCTTAGCACTTTAGCTCGGCCCCTACACAAGGGCCAATGACGGACAGTTCTGTCCTGGCCCCATCCCCTTAGGCATCTCCTTCCACTGTCCCCCAGCCATCCAGGGAAGGTGGAGGAGGCAGAAAGGAAATGGAGAAGGTCTTCTTCCTCCTCAGCTATCACATCCTGTGCCTGGCTCCTCTCCAGTCTCCATTTTGCTTTCTTAGGAGAGGAGGTTAACCAGAAATTGTTCATCTTGAAGAAGGATAATTTCAGTTGCCACATCTGGGATCCTTAGGGAAGAGACTGACTCTTTAAATAAGAGAATGACTCAAGAAGCATATGGCTATAACAACAACTCTAGGGTTGCCAGAGTTTTTGTTGTTGTTGTTGCTTGTTTTATTTTTTCCTTTGGTTTTTGTAGTACTTGTGATTGAACCTAGGATCTCACATGCTGGGCAAGCACTCTACCACTGAGCTACATCCCTACCCCTTTTTATTTATTTTATTTCATTTTTGTACCGGGAATCGAACTCAGGACCTTGCACTTGCCAGGCAGGTGCTTTTGCTGCTAAGCTATATCCCCAACGCCCCCCGTTTTATCTTATTTTGAGACCTGGTCTTGCTAAGTTGCCCAGGCTGGCCTCGAAATTGCCATCCTCCTGCCTCAGCCTCCTAAAATGCTGGGATTATATACATGTGCCATTATGCCCCATTTAAGATTATTAGATATACCAAGTAAAACTATAGGACACCACTTAAATATGAAGTTCAAATGGGGCCAGGGGTATAGCTCAGTGGCACAGTTTGATTCCCAGTACCAAAAAAAGTTCAAACGCATAACAAATACATTTTTAGTATAAATATGCCCTACATCATTACCTAGAGTATGATTATACTAAGAAATTATTTATTGTGCCTATGAAATTCAATGTGAAGTGGGCATCATGTGTTTTTGCTTTGATGTTCCTTCCAAATGTCACAGGAAACATAAAGAAAACAGTATTCATTGTCTGAATTTGAAGGTCAAATTTAACTGGATATCCTGTTCGGGTTTTTTTTTTTTTTTTTTTGAGACAGGGTCTCGCTATGCACTTCAGGCTGGCCCTAAGCTCACTCTGTAGCCCAGGCTGCCCTTAAACTAGCACCGATCCTCCTGCCTCAGCCTCCCGAGTGCTGGGATTACAGGCGTGTGCCACCATGCCTGGCTCTGTTTTGTTTTGTTTTGTTTTTGAACCCAGCACCTCACGAACACTGAGCATGTGCCCTAATACTGAGCTAACTACAGCCCTACCCCCATATCCTGTATTTTTTAATCTTATTTTATTTTTATATCCTAAATATTGCAAGAGACACACTTTACGAAAAAAATTTATTCATCATGTATGTTAACTTCAAAATTCAGGACTGGGCGTTTTGTGTTTTATCTGGCAGCCCTATTTTAACACTTACCCATACTAGAAAGGAATTTTCTCCCTAAGGGTGTGGTACACCCCGCCCATTCACTGGTTCTAAACTGGAGACTGAGTTTCAGAGATGGGCTGTACCTCACCCCAGAGCTGCTGGGGCCTCAATAAATCTGGAGACTTAGTGAGTTTATAAGCCTTCAGGGACAGGATGTTGATGGTATTTTAGAGGGTGAAGGCCCACTAAAAAGCTACCAGAAAAGGCACTAGGCTTTGAGGGAGTGGTTCAGTTCCAAACTCACCATAGAGCTGTCAGAAAAAACATCAGGGTGGTTCTCATAGATAAACTTCTCCACCCGCAACTGCCGCAATTTGAACATCTTGGAGCCCCGGTTGGTAAGCAGTGACAGCTCCTCCAACATCACATCCCTTGGGACACTGATCTTCTTCCCCAGGTTCAGGCCCGAGCTCTCCTGTCCACCTTCCAGGGAGGTCCGAAGGAAGAGAGAGAGGACATGGGGGTTTTCTGGGCTCAGAATGCAGATCCCACCCACAGCTGTGTGTCCTGATAGAGGTCATTTAGAGGAGCCTAAATGGTGTCCGTGATGTCTGACCAAGGTTGGCCTCGTTCGTGAGAGATTTTGGTCTCCTGCTTTGGGGATGCAGAGAAGGCATGGGGACTTGGGTGCAGGGCAGACGCTGTGGGGATGCTATAATGAGAGCTGAACATCAAAGGGCCAAGAGCAAAGGGCAGAAAGGACCATCCTAGATGGGGGCCGCTGGAGAAACTGGAATGGGGGAAAGTTAACAGACCAATTCCTTGTGGGGCTGGTCGCTCTAAGTACAGACTCCTGTTTTAACTCCTTTCCCTGTTTTTCTCAGCAAACTCTGGCTCCAAAAAGCCTCTAGGTATGTGGCGAGCTGTCTACATATGTGCTGTTTCGTCTGCCGCTGGAAACATACATGTGCAATTTTCCATTTTAAGTACTTATCCAAGTTCCCAAGGTCTGGGGAAAGAAATAAGGCAATTAAACATGTTTTTTGTTTGTTTGTTTGTTTCTTTTTGAGACAGGCTGGCCTTGAGCTCACTTTGTAGTCCAGGCTGGTCTTGAACTTGCAAGGATCCTCCTGCCTCAGCCTCCCGAGTGCTGGGATTACAGGAGTGCGCCACCACGCCTGGCTCAGCAATTAAACGTGTTATGAGACCTTAGTCCGTACCCATGTTCCTCAAACATACCTCCCTGACTCTGCGTTCTGTGGTCCTGGCCCTGTGCTGGGCAATATGGGAGGATCTTTCTCAGATTACAAGGTGGAAAGGGTAGAGGGGGGAGGAGACAGTGTCAAATTCTTTCTGCCTTTCTTCCTGCCCGTTTTCCCTCTCCTCCTCACTGCCGACCTCTGACCCCCTACCACTGGAATTCCTGTTTACCCTAAAACATATACAGCCTTATATTATTTTTGAGACTCTTGGGTCAGGGGTGCTCTCAGTGTAAAGTCCCACATTAGGCAGTTACACACTCGCCATACCTCCAGTGAGCTCCATAATCAGCTTGCTGGATTTCCTCTTCTTATTGGGGGCCGGGGTTCCTGAGAGCGGCATTGTGGAGGTGGATTCAGCCTAGATGGGGTAACAAGGTAGAAGGGGTAGCAAGGGGGAGCTGAGGTGGGCAGAGACTGGAAGGAGTGTATGCAATAGGGCAGTTTTATTTATAATAACAATAATAATAATTATTATTATTATTATTGAAATAGGGTCTTGTTATGTATTCCAGGTTAGCCTTGAATTCACTATGTAGCCCAATGGCTGGCTTTTTTTTTTTTTTGGTACTGGAAATTGAACTCAAGACCTTGTACTTGCCAGGCAGGCACTTATGCTGCTGAGTTATATCCCCGGCCCCAGGCTGGCTTTGAACTCGGGCAATCCTCCTGCCTCAGCCTCCCAAGTGCTGGAACTACAGGCGTGCACCACCATGCCCAGTTTTTTGTTTGTTTTTGAGACAAGGACTTGCTATGTCAGTCTGGCCTTGGACTCATGATGTAGCCCAGACTGGCCTTAAATTTAGAAATCCTCTTGCCTGGGATTCCACACCCACCTGCAATAGAACAGTCCTTCTTAACATAGTCTAAAGGGGTTCAGATGATATAATTTCATGAGATCTTCAAAGAAATATGTATTCCCCCAAAAGGTGAAAAGCCCGCTGCTTTAGGGCTTGTTTTCTTGAGACACAAAGCAGGAAAACTAGCTGCACCCCCCGTTCCTACCTTCTACCAACCTCCTGTGGGCTGCTTTGCACAGAGCCTGTGCAGGGTTAGGGCATCGCTGGGGGTGACAACGGCCTTGCAGGCAGACAAGGGGTTCGCAGGGTTTGAAGTTTTTATTTGTATTGAGATACCAGACTGGGGCTATGAGACTCTGGTCTCTCCCCAATCTGCCCCCACGGCCCGAGGGGGCAGAGAGATGTTCTGCCAGGCTTGAGAGACTCTGCCAAAAACATTCTCCATAGGAATGAGAGGTTGTTGTTCCTCCATTGGGCCAGCTGGAAGGTGGCCTGGGAGGTCACAGCCATGCTCCCTGCTCCTTCAGTCACTTCCATCCCAGACGCCAGAGCTGGAGTAGAGAGGGGATTCCAGGAGGTAACTAACTCAGGCCAGTTCAGCAAACTCATAGCTGTAGGGGATCGAGGGAGGTGGGAATCCAGTCATAAGGTCTGACTGTGGACGGGGCAAGCTGGGGAAAGATACAGATCCCGGCCCCCCCTTAACGAAGCTGGCGCGTCGAGACGGCTGTCTTCTGCTGAGTCCTGTCTTGCAAACACATCTGCAACTCTACTGGGGTCTCAGACCCTTTCCCACCTGTCAGCTTCCGCCCCAACATCTCCATTCCCCCAACTCCCTGAGCCTCTCCCTCTGATCTGTGACCCCCCCTGAACTGGACGCGGGGAGCTGAGTATAGATTAGGAGGGGGTCCACTCCCCAGGATCAAGAATTACATTGCAGACACGAGTCGCCCGCATGGGCTCCGGGCCCTTGAGCCAGCGTGCTGCACACTTACCGGCTGCTCAGTTGGTGGTCAGCTCTCCCTGGGGTCCAGCAGCTCTGGAGGACCGAGCTGCTGTGACCAGAGAACCCGAGCTGGGCAGCGTGGGGGCAGCACTGGCAGTGGGGGAGGGAGTGTGGTTATTAATAGAGATGATGAGCATAAGCAGCTCAAATGGCAAAGGGGGTACTGAGACCCTGGAACCAAGACCCCGCCCTCCTTGCCCAGAGGCTCAGCAAGGGGAGAGAGGCCTTTGGGATTCTCCCACTGAGTTGTATGAGCCAGGGGTCGGCCTGTCCCGGGGTCCCCTTCCTACGGTCAGATCCAGGAAAGCATTCAAAGAGAAATCGAAGACCAGAGAGAAAGGAGACAGGCAGCAAGTGGTGTAGGAATTCAGAGTGGGAGAAGGCAGGAACATGACCCAGGGACCACTCACAACCACTCTGGGCTGGAGCTGGAGGGACCTGTGGGTGTGTGTACTTGGGGTGGGAGGGATTAAGGCTTTATGTTTGAGGATGGGACGGAAGTCTTTACAATGGAGCTGCTCTTTTAAAGTTCCTGATGGATTGGTCTCCCTGGGAGAGACAGATCTTGGCAGAACAAAGGACAAAGTAACAAACCCAGTGTAATGAGAGATGCTGTCAGGGAAGACTTGACCAATTACTCTACCTCTCTTTTCTTTCCTGGTCAATTCTGGCAGTTCTAAAAACAACAGGGAAACGTTTAGATCTGCCCTTTAGTCCCCTTTTGTTGCCTGGGTGCTCAGTTCAGCCTGCTTTGTGTGACAGATGTTGCTATCTCCCTGAGAAGCTCATGTTGTCTTCTGACCCACCAGGGCCTTGTTTTCCAGGGATCCTAGCTGGAATCCCCTTCAACAGGAACACACACCCCATAGATCTGCGTTATCCCATTTATGTTGTTCCAAAGGAGCCTCTGAAAGCCAGGCATCGTGACACACTTGTGTAATCCCAGTACTAAGGAGGCTGAGGCAGGAGAATCATTGCAAACTCAAGGCCAGCCTGAACTACATAGGGAGACTGTCTCAAAAGAACAAAAAAACTTAAATTTATAAGATTTGTAGTCAGGTGTCATGGCACATGCTTATAATCCCAGCACTCAGGAGACTGAGGCAGGAGGATCTTTGAGAGTTTGAGACCAGCCTGGGCTACAAAGTGAGCTCATGGCCAGCCTGAACTGCATAGCGAGACCCTGTCTCAAAAAGACAAAAAAAAAAAAAAAGACATAACATAAATAAATGAAGGCTGGGCGTGGTGGCTCACACCTGTAAATCCAACTCTTGGGAGGCTGAGGCAGGAAGACTGTTGCAAGTTCGAGGCCAACCTGAGCTACATAAGTGAGTTCAAGACCAGTCAGAACTGCATAGTAAGATCCTGTCTCAAAAAGACAAAAGAAAGAAAGAAGATAAATAAATGAATCTGATGAAAAAAAACAAACAAAACAAAAAGTGCCTCCAGGAAGGTGCACAAGCTTGAGAGCCCCCTTGAAAGAAGCTTATTTGCCCGGCCCCTTCCTCAGTAGCTGCAGTAACATCCTGCTTCCTCTTCCACCTTCGGTGCAAGCTGTGGAACCAGCTGCTGCTGCGGCTCTGCTGCAGCCTTCACCGCCTTGTTGCAGCTGCCGCCAAAGTGGCTCCAGAAGCTCCCCAAATACACCCTCTGTGCTCACGCCACTCTTCCTGACTGTGTCCTTCATCCCTCTTAGACTTTTCAGGCTCAGGCGAGGGGTTCAAAATCCTCCACCACCACTGTTGCAAACAAAACAGAAACCAAAAGCTCAGAGCTGATTTCCTGTTACTCAGTAATTACCGAGTGGGTGAAGACAGGCTGTTTTAGCCAGCGGCGTCTGTGCCCCTCCTTTGGAATGCTGATACTGTGTACTTGGGAGCATCGGGTCATTGGCACAAATCTGCCCTCTGCTGGCCAAATTCAAGCAATGGCACTTTCCTTCTCAAATCTAATCGTAGTTGGACTGTCCAAGTATTCTACCTCCCTTTTCTTTCCTCTTTGAATCTGGCAGGTCTAAGAACAGCAGGTGAATGTTTAGATCCCCTTTTGCTGCCTGGATGCAGACGCAAGTCACAAGTTCTCTGTCAGTTTCAACCCAACTTTCGTTTTTTTTTCATTCTTTTTGTTTGTTTGTTTTTGTTTTTGTTTTGGTACCAGGAATTGAAAACAGGACCCTGCGCTTGCCAGGCAGGCGCTGTGCTGCTGAGCTATATCCCAGGCCACATTCCTTTTTCTCTTTCCTTTTCTTTATTTTTTTCCCTCTTTCCTTCCTTTATTTATTTACTTATTTATTAGTTGGGGTTTTTTTGTTTTTGTTTTTTGTCTTTTTGAGACAGGGTCTCGCTATGCAATTCAGGCTGGGCTTGAGCTCATTTTGTAGCCCAGGCTCCTATCAAACTTGCAGTGATCCTCCTGCCTCAGCCTCCCGAGTGCTGGGATTTCAGGCATGCGCCACACGCCCAGCTTATTTATTAGTTTAATAAGAAAGGGTCTCACTATGTAGTGTAGGCCAACCTTGAACTTGCTGTGTAGTCCAGGCTGCCCTCAAATTTCAGATCTTCCTGCCTCAGCCTCCCAAGTTCTGGGATTACAGACTTGAAGCCACACCTGGCTTCACCTTTTATTCCCTGTTCCATTCCACCCTCACGTCCAGTCGTTGCTTTCTATTCATTTAATTCTCAAGAGTGTTTAACACGGTTGCTTCCTCCAGGGAACTAGACAGTGTTGATGGCAAAGGAATTAGGCCTTTCAACTTCTCTCAGTTCTGTAAGCTAAGCCTTTCCTGGAAAGTACAGAGCAGTGAAGGGAGACGGGGCAGAATCTGGAAGGAGACTGCAGGGAGACAGAACTAGGAGGACCGGGTGTGGTGGCACAGGCTTGCAATCCCAGCACTGGGGAGGCTGAGGCAGGAGGCAGGAGAATCATTGTGAGCTCGAGACCAGCCTGAACTGCATAGGAGACTCTGTCTCAAAAAGACAAAAAAACCCAAAACAAAAACCCAACTAGGAGCAGTGGAGGTGGAGATAGCTATTGAAGCAGGATGGAATTGGTAGAAAACAGCAAAGTAGTTGGGGATGAAGGGCAAAGGTGGGAAATGGGAGGGTGGGAATGGAGACTGAGATTGAGAGTCCCAGAGAAGATCAGGATTGGATATAAAACTAGAAGAGATGACAGCAACGGAAGGTACAGGGCATAAGTTTATTCTTGTGCACAAACCAAAGAGTTGTGACTCACACCCAAAATGCACAGGAAACAATCACTTTCCAGATCAAACAGCAAACATGGCTGGCGATGGTCTTGGTGAAAAGCGAGTCCATGCCCTTCTAGAACCCAGAACGAGGACTTGAAGCTGAAAAGGAACAAGAGCTAGCGTTTTGAGGGGTGGGGTAGGCCTGGAAAGGTCCTGGCTGCGGGTGCTTCCCTGCCCTTTCCCAGGGAGCCAGGACAAGGTACAGAAGACAGACGAGGATGGACACACAGGAAGCAGCACAGACACCAGCTCTTCCCTCACACTCAGCACACCTCCCGCTCCCCTCCCGCTGTCACCCCCTTAACTCTGGCAAATGTATTTTTGCCCCTCGTATTTTCTCCCAGTCCCCCTCTCACACAGTTGGTTGTCAGCCAGCTTCACTCTGCCGACCCTGCCTCTCGCTCGCCACGCTCCACCACTTGCTTTTTTTTTTTGGTTTTTCTCCAGTGCCGGGAACCGAACTCACAACCTTGCGCTTGCCAGGCAGGCGCTGTGCCCCTGAGCTAAATCCCCAGCCCCCACGCTCTACCACTTTCACCCATGTTCGCTCCACTCTCGCTTTCTGTCTCACTCACCTTACACAGCCTTTCTTCCCCTCCTTTTCTGTTTTAGGCTCATAATACGGGAAATTTTCTTTGTCTTTTCTTCTTTTTTTTCCCCCTGACATCCTTGAGATTGGGTTGCTCAGCACAGAGCTCTGTGTGCTAACTTTCTGAAACCCAGGGGATCTGAGTAATTCTTAGCTCTGTTGCTGGTATAGCTGGTACAGCTCAGCCCATGCAAACTCTCCCAGTCCTTCAGTCTTGCCATGCACCATTCGTTCCCAAGATTCTGTGTATCTGCTACACACTGCTCTCTAAAACACTCTCTCCAGGGAAGCCCTTTCTCCCACTAGGGTCCATGTGGGGCTATCTGACCCTTCTACCAGTGGAAAGTTGAGACCCAGATGGGGTCTTTATTTATACACCTATTACTCTTGCCTCAGAGGAGTATGTCTTTCCAGATCAGATCCTATCACACACACTTGCTCATACTTGCACTCACACACGTATACCCTAGACATACACACCCAGATACACGCCAGCTAACCCTGGGAAAGCAGAGTGAAGAGTACGGAGAGGGTTGGTGCAAACAAGGGTCAGCTCAGTCTCTTTGCTGTCTTTCTGGTGGTGAGCTTGTAGCCTAAGTTCCCAGTGGTTACTTCTGCTCTGTGTGCTTCTTGCTGAACATTAAGATAAGGCCAATAGCCGGGCATGGTGGCTCACGCCTGTAATCCCAGCACTCGGGAGGCTGAGGCAGGAGGATCTTTGCAAGTTTGAGGCCAGCCTGGGCTACAAAGTGAACTCGAGGCCAGCCTAAACTGCATAGTGAGACCCTGTCTCAAAAAAAAAAAAGAAAGAATAAAATAAAATAAGGCCCATAAGCCAGGCGTGGTGGTGCACTCCCAGCACTCGGGAGGCTGAGGCAGGAGGATCGCTGCAAGTTTGAGGCCAGCCTGGGCTACAAAGTGAGCTCAAGCACAGCCTGAACTGCGTAGCAGATCTTGTCTCAAAAAGGAAAAAAAAAAAAAAATGCCAATAGAGAAAAGCACAAGTGTAAAGAGATTTTTAGAGGCATACAGGTAGAGAGGCCAGGAAATGTAGACAGATCAAGGCAAGAAAATATAAAGAGAACCAAGATATCCAAGTAGGGACAACTGGTTGGAAAGTAGCAGGGAGCTAGGGAGTGAGCAGGAAGCTGGGAGATGAGACACTAACTTCAAAACTATCTCTGGCAGGAGGGACTTTAGCCTTCAGCTGCCTGGGACAGGGGTAGGATAGGGCAGGAGAAGCAGCTTTGGAGACTGGACGCTCCATTTCTCCTTGGTCCTGGGACCCATCCCTGCTCACCGGTGCCCTGCCCCAGGCCTCCACACGTGAGCCTGCAATCCTGTTCTGGTGGCTGAGAATCGGGGCCTGGCTACCTGGAAACCACAGGAGCTGGGGGTGGCCCCAAAGCCTCTGGGAGACTCTTGAGGAGGAGCCGGGCTCGAGACAGGGGCCGAGGCCAGCTCTGCCCTCCAGATGGGTTCATCTAGGGAGGTGGCTGCTCGGGGGGCCAGCACAGTGGGAGCCAGGGGCTCTGCAGTGGGCTGGGGCGCCGGGGTGGAAAATCGGCGGATCTCCTGGACTCGGGCAGTTTTGGGGGCCCCGGAAGGGGTGGGGCCAGGAGTTGGAGGAACCTCGTCAAAACAGAACATGGCAGTTTTAAGTTGGTAGGGTTGATGCCGCATGAAATCCAGAGCCTTGATGCCCTGCTTGGGGGCTGCTCGAGGCCCCTGGGGTTGGGCCTTGGTAGGGAGAGTTCGGGCAGCCTGGGGGAAAAAGGGTGAGAGCAGTGGGTTGTAAGCAATTGGAGGCGGGGCACGGATGTTGGGCGAATACTTCCATGAAGAGGGCAGTGAGGGGGTAGGAGAAGGACTTCTGGGCCGAGGGCCAGGACCTGGTGTGGTTTCCACCACATACCTGTCGGCACGGCTCTGCCGCTTGGCAAACAGCTCCCCACCCCTGCCCTGCAGCCTTGGTGGCTCAGGGATTCCGGGCGAAGGGGTCGCCCCATTCACCAGCCCATCAAGGAGCCCTCTGGACGCGGGCTTAGGAGCCACTGGGGGCGGAGTCTTAGGAGTCATAGGGGGCGGGGTCTTGGGCGCCATCGGAGGCGGGGTCTTGGGCGTCACGTGAGGCAGCGTCTTGTAACTCCTGCCCCCCGGCGGCTGCATGAAATTGCAGGCCTCGGCCCCGAGGCTCAAAGCGTCCTCCTCCGGGCCGGATTCAGCAGCCCCGGCCCGGGGTTTTTCATCCAGGTTCTGCACCAGCGACAGCAGTTCGGGGTTGGGCGAGTTCTTCGGCTCCTCCTTCGCTTGGCGGAACATCTGCTTCCTGGTCCCGCGGCGCCGCGCCTCCTGCAGGATGCCCGTGCGCGCGGCCGGCACGGAGATGCGCTGCTCGCGAGCGCTGGCGGGGTCGGGGGCCGCGGGGCCTGGCGCGGGCGCCTCCGGGCGTGCAGAGGGTCGCAGGGGTGACGAGAGAAAGATGGAGGCGGTGGAGGTCATGGCCGCTGCACTAGGAGGGGCGGAGGGCTCCGGGGCCCCGCCCGGGGTAACGGGTCGACTAGGGGCTGGGATGTACAGGGAGCTGGTGGCCGTCACAGGGCCCGAGGGCCGTGGGGTGCTGGGGGGAGCAGGGGAGGGCGCGTGGCTGGAACCCCCGGGGGTGAAGCTCTGCGGGGGCGTGGGCTCCGGCGGAGAGGACAGGAAGGGGGGTGGGGCGGGGCCGAGGTTCCCCGGGCTCTCGTTCGCCCTCTTGGGGGCGAGAGGTCTGAAAATCACCGAGGTGGTGCTTGGCCGCTGCCCTTGTAAGCCCGGTGTAAAGGGCCTGGCCGACCTGTTGAAGATGCTCGGCGCTGGGGAAGGGGCGCCACCACCTGGGAGGAAGGGTCTGGGGCTGGTGACGGGGGCCGGCAAAGGACTGGGTGGGAGCACAGCCGCCTCCGGGGGAGCACTTTGGGCCCGGGGTGGTGACTGCAGACCCTGACCATTGAGCACGGCTGCCTGGCCCCTCGGAGCCGACTCCAGGGTGCTGGAGGCTGCGCGCTGGCGCTGCTGTTCGAAGAGTTGGACCCCTTTCCCGGAGACCTCGCTCAGCTGCCCGCCCTGGCTCTCGCCTGTGCCCGAGCCCACCCTGGCCAGCTCCATGTCCAGATAGGGGCTGTCCCAGTCGCACTGATTGGTGAGGCTGCGTGCGTCAGAGAAGGCCTCTTCGTCCAGCTCGGACTCACTCGTTGGGGGAACACCGTCCTCCTCCTCAGTGCCCGTCCCAGCTGCAGCCCCGAAGCTCACCAGAGTGTACTTCTTAGCTCTCTGCCGCCGCTTCTTAAACATCAGCACCCCCTTGGAGTGGGGGTTGGGGGCTGCAGTTAGCAGGGATGCGATGGTCCTGCATTTGGTCTTTGCTTCCTTCACACTCTTTTCTTGGAGGCTCTCCACCCGTTGCAATTCTGAGGAGGCCAGAAAGTAGATTACTCAGTGGGGCCTTGCAGCCTCTTCTGATTCTGGTCCCCAAAGCTTTCATCCCCACCCGGGCCAGTCCCCACCCCCCATCACTTCACTGGTGGGACCCACAGCGTCCCTTGCCGGTGGGATATCCTGCCTGTGAGATGGCCTCTGATTTGAGGGCTGGCTGGAGGGTGAAAGGTGAAACCAAGGTCAGTTAAAGGAAAGGCAGAGTCCACCTGGCTGCCCTGACACTGCTTTGACAGTTCTACCCTCCCCTCCATTCTGTTGTCTTCCCAGAGATGTGGCCTTATCTGCGCCCCTACCCCCCAGCATTCCTTACCCACTTCCCACACCTGACTGGCTACAGGAGGGAGATGTCACTCTCCACAGCAGGCAAGGAAATCAGGGAGGGAAACCAGGGAGAGAAAAGAAGGGACACTTTTCTACTATAGAGACGCAGTTAGGTTTGTCATAACATTTGGGATTTATCCACTCTTCCTACCTGTTACCCCTATGACCAAGACACAGGATTCTTAACAGTGAAGATCTTCATTTACAAGTCCACCCCCATCATGTGGTCCACATCAGAAACACCGATGGCAATAACTTCCATCGCATGTCAACAAGAGTATCTTGTTGCCTGCTGCTGAAAGCTAGCTGGGCAGACTTTCTCCAATGTACTTTTCTCTCTCATTAATGTATATCCCAGTTGGGCCTGGTGGTGCACATCTGTAATCCCAGCACTTGGGAGGCTGAGGCCAACCTGGGCTACATAGTGAGTTCAAGGTCAGTCTACACTCCAAAGTGAGACCCCGTCTCAAACAAACAATGGCTGGGCACGGTGGTGCATGCCTATAATTCCAGCAGGAGTTCAAGGCCAGCGTGGGCTACACAGTGAATTCCAGGCCAGCCTGGGCTACATAGCAAGAACTTATCTAAACAAAAAATGAAATTAATTACTATCTCTATCCCATATACTTTAGTTCACACACACATACTTATTTGTGCACACGTGAAAACATAGAGTCATTCGCATGTATACACACGCATGCTCCAGATGGCTTTTTTTCCAGAGTTCCCCCACAGAGACACTGTTACTATGAGTTTGGTCAGAATTTTAGAGTTGTTCTTGGCCCTCCAACTGCCAGGGAACCCCTCTGTGCTTCACACCCCTGTTACTCACAGCTGGGGTTAGTCTCAGGTCCAAGGTGTGAAAAAAGTCAGGGTGCTGCTCTCCAAGGCCACCCTCCAAATCTTCAGGATACCTCAAAGTTGCCGATCTCCTTTCCCCCAAGATGAGGATGAGTTTCTTTGGGGCTCAGCATTGACCCCACTGTTTGCCAGGCCTTTTGGGTAGAGAGCTCGGGCATCTACTACCAGATAGGCGTGCAAGGGCTGTGTGCTGAAGAGAACCAAGGCAGGGCTTCCCATGCTTTGTAGAGCCTGGGTAGGTGGGGCCAGGAAATGGGAGAGGCTGCACTGCTGCTAAGACCCCGCCTTAGACATGGATAATCTCTGGTCCACTGTCCCAGTTCCTCCTGAAAAATTCTTGAAATTCCATCTACTTTCCACTTGAGATACCAAGCTCCTTTCTATTTAGGGTTCATTCCTCTCATCCCAACTCCCATAACATAGAACAGTACTGTAGATGAGAGAATAGGCACAGGAATCAGAGTTCAGTTCAGGTTTTTGTTCTTGGGAGAGTTACATCACTTCATTGAAGTTCAGTTTCCTCATCTGTAAATGAGGATGATAACATCAACCTCAAAGAGTTGCTATAAGGATTAAGTGAGCTAATATAAATAAATTTAGCACTTAACACAGCACTAAGGCCCACTGGGACAACTATTTTTCTCGAAGCTTTCTTGACCCCAGCTATACACATATACAGACAGTTCTTATTCACATATATCTCCTTCCACAGACTTGCACTTGCCTGCCTTCATGTATTCATAATGTACACCCACCTCTCTCTCACACACACTCTTCCTATGAGTTTTCTACAGTTCGTGTGGTCACAAACCCCTTTGTCATGTGGCCATAGCATCAAGCTCTCCTGAGAAATGGAAGAAGAGGATAGGAGGCAAAACAAAGAGGACAGGAGAGAATGACCTTCCCCAAAGTCCACCCTTCCTCAATTATCGCGGTATCACCCTCCATTCTAAACCTTTTCCTTCTACACCCCAAAACACTCTTGAATGTGGAAAGGTAGTACCTGCATAGAATGGGTCTTGGGGTTCAGGATCTGGATCTGAGGCTTTGTCACAGCTGGCTTGGCTGAGGGACTCTTGGCTGATGGGCTCAAAGGCCTCCATGCCGAGGAAGGCAGTGTTGGCTGGAGCAGGACCAGCTTGAGCCACCCCCATGCCTTTTAAAGCCCCTTTGTCTTGTCCCCAGAGCTGGCAGCTGAATGAGCTCACTGGGCTATTTTTGGAGCCTGGCCCCCTCCCTGCTCTCGGCTTCCCCACAAGTCCCGGTATGATGGACGTGGGCACCTGCCTCCCCTTCCCCCTACCCTGCCCCACTGGACAATGAGGTCTACTTTGGCTAAAAATATCCGTGAGCCACTAACCACAATCTCACCCATCGAGATGGGAAGGGAGAAGAGGGGATAAGAAATGTAAACTGGGCACCTTCCTGGTAAGCATGAGGTCCTGATTACCCCCCAGAATGAGAGCTGGGGTTAAGTATGGGATCCTGGGTATGTATCTGGAATTTCTTTGTGGGATGTTGGACATGCTCAGAGATGTCAGACACTACACTGTCATGTCCTTAAACTCTGTTTAAACCTAGAGACCCTCATTATCAGAATGAGGGTAGGGAGGAGAGAAAAATGAAAACTAGGGGGAAATCCTGTGATTTCAGAGGTGACAAAAAAGGTGTTTGTGGGCGGGGCTTTGAAGAAACAGGACAGGAAAACACTTCATTCTTAGATCTGGTTCTATAGCTCACATCAAAAATAGCAAAGAGCCAGAGATAAGTGGAACTGGCTTTTTCTGCCCAGGCCTACATTCTTGCCTGAGATAAGGAGCCGCTGAAGATCCCTCCCCCTGCCATTTCCTAGGGATCTCATGACCGTCCCATAACTTCCCAGTGCCCAGGAATACCAACCAAACTTACACATGCTTGTAAGCTTTGAAGTAAGTTTGTTAGTTCAGGTAATAGCTCTGAAACTGTGCCTTCAGTTAACAGCGCAAAGAGCCCCTAAACCCTTGTCCTGTTTCCACATACTCCCATGCTCTGGGTCTGTCCTCTGCCCTCACCCCACCCTGTCATCTAACAGAACAACAGCAACCACCACCAAACTCTTTGTCCATTCTGGTCCTTTTCCAGCTTCCCCACTTACTCTGTTCTTGGGTTCTACTTTATTTTGGTCTTTTTGAGACAGGGTCTCGCTATGCAGTTCAGGCTGGCCTTGAGCTCACTTTGTAGCCCAAGCTGGCCTCGAACTCACAACAATCCTCCTGCCTCAGCCTCCCGAGTGCTGGGATTATAGGCATGCGCCACTACACCTAGCTTGTTCTTGGGTTGAACTGAACCACTTCTACCTTTTTGCTACACTGGTTCAAATAGCAAAAATAATAGACACCATGAGAATAATTATTTTCCCTTCCACTTATGTCTGTTCTCTACTTGTTTCAAAGACTATATCCAAGAGACATAAAGTAGGTAGAAATTGTAGATAAGAAAGCAGAAATTTAGGGCTTAGATCCTGGCTAGGTAAAAAAAAAGCATTCAGGACTCACTGGCTTGCTTGGCCTTCTGGGCGTAGGTAGTAGTAAGGTCTTCTGCCACTGGGTGGGGAACAGGTCCCACCATAGGGATAAGATGAGGGCCAGGCCGGAGTGGACCATGGGGTAACAGCAGTGCCTCGGCTGGGGGTGGCTGAAGGGCTGCCCCTTCCTCCCACAATGGGGAGCTCACACGGCTGTCAGCCTGGCTGGGAGGACCAGGGATGGCAGGTGCTGGCTCTGCAGGACTGTCAGACAGGTAGACCTCATCCGGTGGGGCTCCTGGAGGTATGGGCCTTGTAGGGCCTCGCCGGCGGGGTCGGCGGGGCTTCTCCTGAGTGGCAGAGCCATCAACATCACTGTCTGTCTCTCCATAGTAAGCCTCACTGTCAGGGGGCGATCGAAGGCTCCCAGGCTGAAGGGACTGCGATACAGGAGCACCAGGGGGCTCAGGACTCAGTGGAGATAAGGGTGACAGTGCCTGAAACTCCCCAGGGGATGGAGATCTCACAGGCCCTTCATCTGCAATCCTGGATGGGAAAGAGGACAGAACTTGAGAGATGGGCTATGCGACTAACAGCCAGAGAGCGCTGGAGGGGATGGGGAAGGAGGTAAAGGGGAAAGCAGGGGCAGGCATATGGTTAGAGTGGATCATCTTCCAGTGCACTTGGAAGGCTATAAGAAGATGAGATACGCCAGATGTTTAAGTAGACCCACTGCTGAAATAATCCACTTGACACCCCGACTTTTTAAGTGCATACAGGTTCAAACCCTTTGGGAGACATACACAAAC